TAGTCCAGTAAATAGTACATATAGTATTAATGATATAGATATAGTATAGATAGATACTACCTATACCCATATTATACATCATAGATCTATACGATCTGATATACTATCTATATATATACAGTCTGAAATAGTCGTATAGCATATAGGTATTACGTAGAGCGTGTTCTATGACAATATTTATCATAAGAAACTGCTATATATGATATATGTAAAGTGATCGTATACATATATATAGTAGATAGATATCTTAATACAGGTAGTATCTTACATGAAATCATCTATATATATATCTATAGTTAGAAATAACTATACAGTATATCGTAAACATAAAATCATCTATCATACTATATAGCACGATAAAATATCTTATACATATATCAATGACTGAAATATCTATACATGATACGTATAACATAAACTAGTCTAGTACAATATAGTACGATGATATGAGTCTATAGCATATAGGTCTAGCATTAAGATATCTAATAGTATGATATCTGTATTAAATATCTAGTAGCGATATATATACAATAAATATCTATACATATATATGTACATAAATATCTAGTACAGTATATGTACATAAAGTATCTATACAATATATAGAGCAGTAAATATCTATCATATAGTAGTACATAAGATATCTATACGATATACTATAGCATAAATATCTATACTATAATATACATTAATATATATGTAGCATATATATAGCATAAATTATGTATACATTATATATAGTATAATATATATAATATGATTTATAAGTATATTAATAGGACACTGATCTATATTAGTAATAGGTATATCTCGTATAATTATAGGTGGTAGTCTAATTATCATAGAGCATTCAATGTTAAGATACCTATAACCATTATCATATCCAAATGTATACGTGCATTATATATAACATATCATACCCTAGTATAGTAAGTAGTACATAATTATACATTAACACTAGCATAAATGTGCACTAAGTCATATACAATAGATGTAGATGACATAATAGCGCATAATGGTACTATGCATATACATACGTATATATAGTATAAGTATGTAAATATGATATATACTGGTTATCATAGTAGTAGTAGAATTAGTATTTATAGTACGATCTATAGTGATTTAATATAGTACACGCAGACATACACACACAACCACACATTATATATTAGCACTAGCTACCGGACACAATACTCACGAATATATAATATATACGATCTTAGCACACAGCACAAGAAATATTATAGTATTGATATACACACCACACGTGTATGATATATACATCACAGCACTACGTTAATATATATAAGTGTAGTAAGGACAACACACACTCATCCTGCGACACCGGTTTTGTGAAAGAATAAATAAAAATTTAGTGATAAGCATAACCCACGACAATACCGCCCAATCAACCGGTGATCGACAATATAGATTGTTTGAGGCTATTTGTATGCAGGCACACACACGTTAGAGTACAATATATATATAAGTGATGATATATGATATATATATATATGATATATATAGTATATGTGTATTGATATATGGGATATATATATTATATGATATATATATACTGTAATATATGAGAATATAGTGTATATATATATATATTAATATGTAGCAATATTATATCTTATTACGTATATGATAAGGTTTATACGGTAATGTTTATAATATATATGTATCATAAGATATCATAGTAATATGATGAGATTGTTATATATATAATCTAGTGTATTATATATGATATACCCTTATCATTATAATTATGACATTATATATTATAGTAGTAAGTTGGCATATCTTGAAGGTAGTAAGTATGTATGTGTTTGATAAGGTACTATAGGTATGATAGTATGAAGTGTATATTATATCATGACTATATATATAATCATATTAGTATGTTATATGATAGTATCATGTATATATCGTATATTATATATGATTATGTATTAAGTTATAGAGTATATATATCTTTATATTTATCATGTAATGGAACGCGGTGACGAGTGATTATAGTATGATAAGCCTGGCGGATGATGTATAATTATATATAGTATATAGTGAGTCTGATGAAAATGTTGAATATATGATAGTACCAAGATCAGTATCCGTAGTATGATGTATATTATAGTAGCGATCTAATATTAGTATATTAGTTATTTCATATTTTATGAATATTTTAGTGGATATAGGGGGTATAAATAGTTTAATATGATATATTATTAATATACTAGTAAATAGTAGTAGTATATATTTATAGCTAAATTATGAAATGTATGATATAGTATATAACAGGACGCACATAACTAGACGCCAGAAAGATTGTGGTAAGAGCAACGGATATATAGGCAGTACCATCAATAAATGTTGGCGGAGTGAATAGCATATCTACAGTCGAAACACATTACATGTAGTATAAGTATAGTGATACAGCATAGCTTTACATATGTGTAGCATGTATGTATGGTATGCATAAGTATGATGTTGATGGGGAATGTATATTACCTAATTATGTAATATAATATAACTGATAGTAAATAGTACTAGGTAGTTTATAATAGTATATATATAATTATTATATATCACAAGCACGACGCGACACAAATGGCACGGAACGATGTATATAGGCGGCTATCGCGATTCCGGTATTGATAATTATAAACGCCTGAACGAGGAACCAGAATAGAAGGAAGAAATCATGTGGAAGGACAGATGAAAAACTGATAAATCACCACACACAACACAATACTCTTCCAAACACTACACCTTAAAAAATACTTCAGTATTCTATGACCTGAGTTGAAAGGATAATGTGACATAAATCTAATTCTCTAATTAATCCAGGTAAATGCAACAATTAACAAATGATAATAAAGGTAATGATAGTGATGTTAACAATAGGTGGTCTTAAAAGTGGTAATTCTTATGATTAGGAATACGATGAATGATAATTGATATTTAATGGTGGTGGACAATGAAGAGTATGATGATGAATAGTGATGATAATGAAAGATAATGAATAATGATAATGATGAAGATGAATACTGATGATGATGATGATAATGTTAACGATAATGGTAATGATGATGATTTGTAATATACTAAAGGTATTAGTACTTTCTCATCATTAATTTCTTGTCATCATTAAGAGGAGTCAAATTTAAGTATTGAAAATAATAACTACGTAACAGCTGTACCCCTCTATCTCTCTCTCACTCACATCTCTCTCTCGATCTCATATCTTTCTATCTATCACATATCTATCTAATCAATAATAATAATAATAATAATAATAATAATAATAATAATAATAATAATAATAATAATAATAGTAATAATAATAATATAATAAATAAATATAATAATAAAAATAATAATAATAATAATAATAATAATAATAATGATAATAATAATGATAATGATAATAGTAATGATAATAGTAATGATAATAATAATAATAGTAATGATAATAGTGATGATGATGATGATAATAGTGATGATGCTGCTGCTGATGATGATAAAAAAAAATAAATAATAATATAATAATAATAATAATAATAATAATAATAATAATAATAATAAATAAATAATAATAATAATAACAAACACAAACACAATTACAATAATGCATCTCACCTATAATCCCATGTATATCCATCAAAATCACCAATAAGAATGTTCTACAACTCTAAAACTTCAAATACTTCTTACTTTACCATCAACTGTATATACTCCGAGTAGATGAAAATACCTTAGCTGGATTTTGAGACGACCACTAACACAAAAAAATATTGAGCTGTTCTCCTCAAAAACTTCACAAAATAAAATTATGTCCAAAGCACCACACACTTCAGTGACATGAACAACAATGCCGGTATATATTTTTCCACAAAATCATTTACTATCACTTCACGGCCTGTACACTGTCAACTATCCATCATCTTTAAGCACATCTGTCTCTGTACAAAGTGTATACTTCTTGATATAGACATATCTGTGAGTCATATCTTTGTCATTTGCAGGCACAATGATGGGCGGGCACAGGCAGGCAAGCAAGCAGGCAGGCAGGCAAGGCAGGCAGGCAGCAGCCACTCCTCCTCCCACATGCAGCCTGGGTAGCTGGGCGAGGCATCCTTCGGTGCTGGATCTATTGCACAATCATTTCGTTCTTGCTCCTGGCTGGCTACGGCGACACCCCAACCCAAAAGGTGGCGGCGGGGCTTGCTGGTGCTTCCCCCGCCCTCACCCAAACAGCTGACAACGGCCAACCCACCCTCAACAAGGCGACACTTGCGCTACGGGAATATATTTGGGGCTTGATCAAGTGCACGCACACGCACACACACGCACACGTACACACACCCACAGCAGCCTGAGCTCCCACCCCTCACCCGTCCTCCCTCCCACACACCTAACTTAGCTCTTAATCCTTCTCTCCCCACTTCTCCGCATTTCCCACACCTGCACCACCTGCTCGCTGCCACACTGCCCTGGGGGACTACGGGGTTGTCAGGGCCCCCGAGGTGGCCGTTGTATCATATGCAGAGAGATTCATGTAATCGGCGGCCAGGAAGATGCCCGCCAGCCAGCACAGTCTAGCAACCCACCTCAATTTCTCTCTCTCTCTCTCTTTTGGCTGCTTTTAATTTTCGCTTCCTGACACTCGCACGAATTTTATTGGCTAATGACGTTCATGTAGTAACGGAAGCCCGAAGCCAGCGTCCCTTCGAAAGAGCTAGCTCGCTGCTGGGTGATCGATAGGGGAAGCGAAGCGAGGGCGAAGAGGCGAGAAAAGAGAACTAATAAAAGTGGAGATAGACGAGCAGCAACAACAGCAGCAGCAGCAGCACCACGTCCCGTCCAGCCAGCTAGCCAGCCGACACAGCGCAGCCGACCGTCCCGACCGACCGACCGACCGACGGACCCTCCATCCAGGGCCTCCTCCTCCTCCTCCTCCTCCTCCGCCTCGCACAAAACACTCCGCGACTTACACTCCGTAAACGTTCCACCAGTTCCTTCTTGCTGCCCGACTTGGATAGGCCTCGGCGCTCTAGCTCGGCCTTGAGCTCGACCACCTTGAGGTCCTTGATGAGCCGCACGCCGTCGATGGTGAGGCTCCTGGCTCGGTCGCCCATTTTGCTGCGTCAATTCCAAGAGCGGCCGTCCCCCGACACACGATCATCCTCACTCCATTTGCACTACTGAGAGCCAGCAGACGATAAACATGGCACGCGATTGGTCGGTCCGCCTTCCCGCCGCCGCCGCTGCCAATGGCGGCCGCGCTCTCATGTGGCACTCCGCGCCGCCGCCCAATCCCGGCCGCCGTTGCATGGCAGACGATAGGGGGCGGAGCGAGCGACGGCCGGAGAGCGCACGGACCCGCGCCGTTTGAGACCGGAACATTCTTCCTCCACCTCCTCCGCCTTCCTCTTCTTCTCCTCCTCCTCCTCCTCTTCTTCCTCTTTCATTTCTTCCTCCCATTCCATCTCTCTCTTCTCCTCTTTCTCCCCCGCCCTGCTTTGCGTTGTTCCCCCGCTCTCCTCTCTCTATCCTCATTCCTGACGAACATTTGTCTCTCCCTTCCTTATCTTCTTTTCTCCAACTTTCTTCCCTCTGTCGTCCTCTTCCTCTTCTCCATCTCCCGTATGCCACCCCCCCTCTCCCTCACTCCCTCCTTATATAAGCAACACGTAAGTCTATAGATTTGAGTTCTATGTATATCTATGGTGATAACACACCCGCAAAGGAACGCATGACCTGTAAGTCGTAAAGATACAACCATACACCCTTATGAATATGCATTTAAACATAACTTTAAATAATTAAGCGTACTGCATACATAAATACCTAAATATTTACCTGCGAATATGCAGATAGGAAAAAGTATGAGAGGAGAAGCGTAAGCTTAGCTCTCGCTTTATCTCTCGCTCCCTAGTACACTGTCGCTCACTCTCTAAAACTCACACCCTCGCTCCATCTCGCTCCCATTCAATTCTCTCTCATTCATTCTCTCTCTCTCTCTCTCTCTCTCTCTCTCTCTCTCTCTCTCTCTCTCTCTCTCTCTCTCTCTCTCTCTCTCTCTCTCTCTCTCTCAAATTCATCACTTTCTCTGTCTTCAGCTCTCTCTCTCCCTCTATCTTTATTTCTCAAGCTATGTCTAACTTTATCTTGCCAACTTTCAATAACTATATCTCACTAATTTTCTCTCTACATCTACCTCTTATTCTCTCTCATCTATATATACCTCTCATTCTATCTCTCCCTACCACTACTTCTCTCTACCTAAAATTTTATTTCTATCTCTGCCTATCACTCTATCGCTAGCTTTCCCTCCATTTCTGCCATTCATTCTATGGCTCCGTTCTGCCTCTCATTTCTGCCTCTCTACTCTACCTCTCATTCTATCTCTCTACCTCTCATTCTATCCCCTCTCTACCTCTCATTCTATCCCCCTCTCTACTCTCATTCTATCCCTATCCCTATCCCCCTCTCTACCTCTCATTCTATCCCCTCTCTACCTCCATTCTATCCCCTCTCTATCTCATTCTTCCCCCTCTCTACCTCTCATTCTATCCCCTCTCTCTACCTCTCATTCTATCCCCCTCTCTACCTCTCATTCTATCCCCCTCTCTATCTCATTCATCCCCTCTCTATCTCATTCCCCCCTCTCTACCTCTCATTCTATCCCCTCTCTACCTCTTCTATTCCCCTCCTCTATCTCTCTCTCCCCCTCTCTACCTCTCATTCTATCCCCCCTCTCTACCTCTCATTCTATCCCCTCTCTCTACCTCTCATTCTATCCCCTCTCTACCTCTCATTCTATCCCCCCTCTCTACCTCTCATTCTATCCCCTCTCTACCTCTCATTCTATCCCCCTCTCTACCTCTCATTCTATCCCCCTCTCTACCCTCATTCTATCCCCCTCTCTACCTCTCATTCTATCCCCCTCTCTACCCTCTCTATTCTATCCCCCTCTACCTCTCATTCTATCCCCTCTCTACCTCTCCTATCCCCCTCTCTACCTCATTCTATCCCCTCTCTACTCTCATTCTATCCCCCTCTCTACCTCTTCTATTCTCTATCTCATTCTATCCCCCTCTCTACCTCTCATTCTTATCCCCTCTCTACCTCTCATTCTATCCCCCTCTCTACCTCTCATTCTATCCCCTCTCTACCTCTCATTCTATCCCCCTCTCTACCTCTCATTCATCCCCCTCTCTCTACCTCTCATTCTATCCCCCTCTCTACCTCTCATTCTATCCCCCTCTCTACCTCTCATTCTATCCCTCTCTCTACCTCTCATTCTATCCCTATCTCTACCTCTCATACCTCTCATTCTATCCCTCTTCTCATATCCCTCTCTACCTCTCATTCTATCCTATCTCCTCTCATTCTATCCCTCTATCTCATTCTATCCCTATCTCTACCTCTCATTCTATCCCTATCTCTACCTCACATTCTATCCCTATCTCTACCTCACATTCTAGTCATTCTATCCCTATCTCTACCTCACATTCTATCCCTATCTCTACCTCACATTCTATCCCTATCTCTACCTCTCATTCTATCCCTATCTCTACCTCTCATTCTATCCCTATCTCTATCGCTGACCAATAGAGCAGCTTAAAATTGTTGCTGTAGAAACACTGAATAACGACAGAAGTCATCAGAGATAACAAATTATGCAGAATGGGCTTTTATTCATTATACCAAGTCAAGGCTGTTGAAAAGAAATTAGTATCAGCAGGAGAAACAAATACGAAAATTGAAAAAGACAGGTAGCTAGTGAAGAATAATAATCTCATCTATCAAGGAGATTAGAGAGATATCAATGTTACAGCTGTCATAAGCGGTTACATTCGACAATTTTTCTGATTAAAATGATTCTCACAAACTTTAACCATTGTTTAATCATCTCACTGTTTTTACACCTTCGAACTGTAAACTGCACTTGGCCTATTTTACATTCTGTTTTCTGACATTTTTTTTACTTACAATTTTGGATCTGTTTTAACACAAATATTTATATAATGTTTGCTAATTTCCCTACTTTTATTATATTATTCTGATGCCAAAGACAGACTTCTTTGAAACTCCTAAATAATCAATATGTCTTTTTCAATGCTGGTGCTGCTGTTCTAGCCAATGTTAAACAAAGAATTAATGTAATGCAAAACAGCGATAATGCACCCTCGGTATCTATCAATATTTGTATAAAGCGTGATACCTATACCACGCAATTCTTCGCAGGTCTTGCCTTTTGTATGCTGGTACATGTATTCTCCACTAGTTTTTCTGTTAATTTTGCTGTACACAGATAGCTACACAAGTGCTCTGCCCAAAGGGAGTCAATTAGAAGCCCATTGTGATCTCACCTGATTTCATCCTTCCTTGAATTTCTCTTTTTTGAACGCTATCAATCTCACTCCTGTTATTATTAATATTGACATTATGATTATATCATCAAAATACTAATGGCCATAAAATACATTAAAGAATATGAAAATCAAAGCAAAACAAACATTACACAGGTAAGACTAGCAACTGCCTGCTTGGAAACTCGACACTTGTGGAACCAATAATGTGTAAACAATTAATAAACTAAAATCACAGTGGACATTAAATTTCCATCATCCCACCGCAAAGGGTTTAGATTTCCATTTTGGACCTTCATGCCCCCCACACTAATAGATCTTGGTTATTCCAGCTTTTAAATATTGAAATCTTGTCTCAATCAAAAAAAAACTACATATGCTCTTTACATGGACTACAACCACCATATAAAATAATGTAACTCAAGGCACCCCAATTAAAACAATCTTGGGAATCTGAACAAAACTATACTCTTTCTTGGATATCCTTGTAAAAACCAAAAATGGTTTTGTAAAACCCTCAGTTCACATAAACTAACATACATGGATTCTGAAGGCCTAATTAGTAGAACCTTTAACAAAAGGAGAATCTTACATATATAATTTTTTCAATGGAATCACCAATTTATTTTTCTTCAAACTGTTTACAAAAGATCATGAACAAAATATTCAAGCCAAGTGATGAACACTGCAAGAATTTTGGACAAACTTTAACTAGTGAAGAAAAAAAAATTCTTTTTTCTTTACAAACAAAAATATTGCCCTTCCAAGAATTTCACCACTCATTTAATGGATTACTGCTTCTGTTTTCAGCATCTGCTTCAGCATTCAGTATGGAAATCAATGATTACAATATCAATAATCCTATTGATAATATAATTTATACTGCTAATAATAGTAATTAACATTATCATCATGATCTAATAGGAGTGATAATGTCAATAAGAATAATGATGATGATGATGATGATAATCATCACCATCATCAATAGCTTCAGTAAAGACAATCAACTATTCCTATTTTTCCTATTTATATTATTTTCTGGCTCAATACATGACACTCACAAAAAAGAAAAGTTAACAATGTTGAATTGGCTTAACCCAAGGACAACAGCTTTTACCCATGCTAAAACCTGCCAAGCACCAAGTGCTGCATGCAGACAGCCACTCCAGTGAAAAAATGAGAAACACAAGAAACAATAATCTAAAACAAATGCAGAAGAGGCCAAACAAGTGAATGACTGTTCAGTAAACACAACACGGAGGACACTTGACCAAGCATGGATACTCGCCATCCGGCATATGGTTTTGAAGTTTCGTGGCAAGAACAGAAGCAATCCAGCATAATTCCAAACAATTCCTACAGTACAGCTAGCACAATCCTTTAAAGTTCTCCTTACCTGGTAACACTGTGTGAGCTTGCCAAGAACTCTTCTTTTGTGCTGCAGCTGCAGGTCAGCATGTGACACCTTATCAAAAAGTGATCATTATGAAAACCAGTAAAAGATTATCATCAATGTAATTCATTGTAATTATAGTAATTGTCTAAAAGAGAAATTGTACCACATAACAATTGTTAGATTTTTCATCCTCTACACATTTTCTTTCAAGGGATTTACAGTGTAAATTGCAATAAAATCTTTGCCAACACTTTCTGTTTCAAAACACCAATTATTCTTTTTAATAATTGGCATGGATGTATATATTGACAGAGAACTTCAGCATATGCCTCAATGTTTCCTTTCCTTTCCACTTCCCATACCCTGTAACATTCTCAGTTTCCCTCCACAAATTTCTGCATGTATTTGTCAATAACAGTCTGCCTACCTTAGCCC